CGGGAGAGTATTATGCGAAGCTAAATAAGCCAGTCAGAGAAAAGACAAGTATCACATGTTCTTATATTCATATATGCATAACCCATGGACATAGACAATAGTGTAGTGAAGGCCTGGGGTGGAGGGTAGATGTGGGCTAGAAGAGGTCAATGTGGAAAAAACGGGACATCTGTAATACTTTCAACAATAAAGATATTTTTTTTTTAAGTAGAACCTGAGGCAAAGATGAAAGTATTGTTCCTTTATTTGGGAGGTTCTGGAAAGTGAAGGTAGGGCAGAAAAAGGAATGAGGTTGAGGTCATGTCAATTTCCAGTCAAAGGCACATACCTGTGCTTGTAGGTGCAGGAGGCAACCAGTTGATGTGCCCTTCTTTTATCAATGTTCTCTCTCTATCTCCCTCTCCCTCCCTCCATTCCACTCTCTCTTAAAATCGCCAAGACCGGTTTGGCTCAGTGGATAGAGCGTTGGCCTGCGGACTGAAAGGTCCCAGGTTCGATTCCAGTCTAGGGCATGTACTTGGGTTGCGGGCACATCCCCGGTGGGAGATGTGCAGGAGGCAGCTGATTGATGTTTCTCTCTCATCAAAGTTTCTAGCTCTCTATCTCTCTCCCTTCCTCTCTTTAAAAAAATCAAATAAAATATATTTAAAAAAAAAAAAGGAAAAGACAATGGTAATATTTAATTCTTACCAAGATGGCAGCATAAGTAAACAGCTGTACTTGCTGCCTCCCACAACCACATCGAAATTACAACTAAAATACATAACTATCATCCAGAACCTCGGGAAACCTGGCTGAGTGGAAGTACTACAACTAGAGAGGTAAATAAGAAAGCACATTGAGACTGGTAGCAGGTGCAGAGGAACAAAACGTGCTGACACCCAGGTGTGCTGCTTTTTTCATTGAGAGGGGGATGCAAGCTTCCGCTTGCTCTGAGCTCCAGTGCCGAGGAAGACTTGGGGGGACCCAGACACATATGGGGAGAAACGACTATCTGGTATTGGGGCAGGAATGTAGGGGCAGCTTTCTTCCAGACTGAGGTGCTCGTAACAGTCATTGTTCCTGTACTGGGACCTCCCCAGTGCAGGGCTGACTGGCAGCCATTTCTGTTTGCTCTTCACTGGAGATTCCCTGAGACCCTGCCCTACCCAATTTACAAAGCCACCAAGTTGTGCTTCAGTGGCTTTTGCATATGAATGGCCTGTCCTTTCTTAGCCTAAACCTCCCTGACCTGCAGCTGGGTCAGGGC